GATCCCTATTACCGAACAGGAACTCAAAACTCTCTCAAAAATTTCGCATACCGATCTAAGTATAAAAAATTATTGTGTATTTGTATATAGCTACTATATATTATGCGTGATGTTTACAGGTGACTCAAAACTTGACATCTTGAAATTCTCCATAAAAAATGCTCAGCTACAGGGCTCAATTGGTTTCTAATGTCCAAGGCCGGATTAAGGACCTATCGGGCTGAAATTTCATATAGGCCTTTCTGACAAAACACGCTTTACAAAGCCGCTCGCAGGAAGATACATTTTTCTAACTATTTCATAATTTGACAGTTGCATTATAAAATTATAAGATTAAAAATTGTAATTTATGTCTATAAAACTACTAATTGTAGTATAATAAAAGTTGATACTTCATATTTCATTAATTTGAATTCAAATTTTCATTGTAACTTTTAAATTTATTAACAGTACCCATATTTATTTACAATAAGTATCAAACAAAAGTTAGTATATAAGACAAAAACTATTCTATCAAATACATTTTTTGTCCTTGTTTTGCTCGAAGCCAACTCTCTTAGTACTTAATTTAAGTCTTATGATTTCAACAAATTATCCTCAGAATGTATAACCATTTCTATACCTAAGTTTTTTTGGGTTTAACTGGTTCCATACTTATTTTTTACTCTAGTTAATTTAGAAAAAGTTCAACAATTAGTATGTAACATGGATTGTCAAATATATTTTTTAAGAAGAAAATAAACAAGGAAATACCTCGTTGAGTGATTGATTACCAGACCAGTCAAATAATCTGCGAATGTCAGTTGGATCAAAAGAAGGTCGACAAAGCCTCCAGTATTCTCTAAATTGTACAAGTTCGTTTGGTAAAGTAGAACTTACATCATTTTTATACTTTGAAATAAATGTTGAGACATTCAAACTACGAAGAACTATTCTTTAAAATCACTGAAAAATGTGTAACTGCTTAAAATTGTTTGAGCCCCTTTCACTTTGGTACTTCAGAGAGCCCCGGGGCTTCTGCCCTGGCTAGACCCCCCCCTCCCCCAAGCCGGCCTTGCTGATATCTCGACACTAAAAAATTACTTTTTATAATTCGACTTTTTATCCTCTTACCCACGCGATGAACTATAATATTGTAAATGATAATATAATATTATTATGTAGGTACGCGTGCAACCGGTTCGTCTGTAGGCAAGTCGAATTTCGCTCGACTTTTGTCGTAAACAGTATATACAGAATTAAATAGGTACCTACCCCATGTATGATATATTTTATTTCTTCCAATGGCACACCCCATGATATAGTAATACTATGTAGTTCTACGCATATACTCGTCGCGCATATATAGAATGGGGGCCCGCGGAATCGGCCACTCGGTCGAAAATCCGCCGTCAATTACCGACCAAACATTTCGTCGCTCCTCCATACTGTACATATACATATATATATGTGTGTGTGTGTATGTGTGTGTGTGTGTATTTATAATCCGAGCAAAGGGCGTGCTAGTGACATATGCTCTTCCCCACACCGTCGTTCAAGCCACCGCCGTTGGTATATATACGTATATACAGAGTGAGAGATTATCGAATTCACACACACTCGCGCGCGCGCACACACACCCAGCTGTCTTCTTTACAAACCATACATCATGCGATGGTCGGTCGACGGGAGGGGATGATCGTCAGGGCTCTATCGCCGTGCGTATACGTGTGTGTGTGCACGTGTGTGTGTGTGTGTGTGTGTGTGTGTGTGTGTGTATAGTGCATTATAAACATCATCGCCTCTTTCTCTCAGAGTCTATTTTTTTTTCATCCCCCCCCCCCCAAAACCCCATTCCGCACACACCCCGGACTATGCAATACACGTATGTGCGTGCGGTACACTCGACAATGGGCGCACATCGCTGCACGGTGCTCGGCGTGCCCTAGGGGTAACTTTATCCTCTCGCGTCGCGCGCACATAACACAATGTAATGTATATAATAGAGAGTCGAAACGCCATTTTTATCTGCCGTCCGGCTATACATATACATATATATAACGTGCGTACGAACAAATATCATATATTATGATGTATGACTGCGGCGGCAGCGGCGGGGCGACTGCAACGAAAACAGCAACCGATCGTGAATCGGGTGTGCGTGCGACGCGAAAACCTCGGCTCGCACGCACATATGGGCTTGGGTTTTATATGATTATTATTATTATTATTGCGTACTAAACCGTTCGACTCCGGCCCGGGGGATTTGGTCCGAGGGACACCCCTTTTTGTCCCCCCCCCTCCGCGTGCGCTCTAGCGATGGGTTGACGGTGTTTATTATGATATTATAATACACGTATGCGGGCAAATTACGCGACGTTTTCGCTATGCGGTGAGAACGCGGACGGAAAAAAGTTAGCCGCAACGGTGTGTAATATCATATTATAATAAAATGGCATTGTGTTCGGCGGTCGATAATAACGGTCGAAACTGATAACGCCGATTACACGATCGTCTGGACCGCCGTCGAGTAGACAGACATAATATTTTATTCATATTAAACGATGGTCGTCGTGCCGAAAACCTTACCGAGTATATTAATGTATACTCGTATAATGATTGGAGCTGGAAATGCAATGCCCCGAAAAATGCTTTAATGCCCTAAAAATACATAATAATGCTCCCATGAAAAATGCACTTAATATTTTAAACAAGTTAAACAAATTTTGGACCAAAAAATATTAAAACTCAAAAATAAATTGTGAGACTGCACAATTTCGAGTCTTTCTAAAGAATTTCGCATTTCAATTTCCGTCGGTGCTGTTTAAAAAATTAAAATTGTCTTACTTTAATTTAAAAACACATGAAACGTATACGCGCATCGTATAACTACATAGCTTTTATAAACAACATGCAAAGTGCATTGGAATCCTAGTCCTAATAATAAATCATGGTCTTGATCGTTTTAATTTTACCGCCGGAAAAGCCGTTTAGCCTCAACGGTGGAATAGAAGATTTTTTTCCAACTATAATCAGCTGATTGTATTGTTCGAACGTTTTATCGGGAATAATGTTGCTATGTGACATTTACATACTATTATTAGGTATATTAATGTGTCTTTCGCTTATTTAGTGTTTGTAATGTACTTTTTCGCCTCTCGAAACATACTTATAACAAACAAATACGCGTCTCCAAGTTCGTTTTTTGGCTGACTTAATTTATAAATATTCTAAAACATTAAAGTTTATAGTAAATATATTATAGTTTCGAGACTTGATCTTTCGTGTACCTATAACTATATTGACCATCATTGTTCGACAAACGAGCACACTTCGGCCGAAGACGTGTTGAGTGCGTTCGACACCTAATCGAAATTTACGACTAATTCGCCATTGTTGTTCGCTATATTATGGACTCACTTAACACGTTGTCGTTTCTGTTAATCGTCGCGACGCTGGCCTGCACTTGTTGGCGCGCGGCCCGCTGTTCCACGGGAAAGTCGTCGGAGGAACTGGAAGAGATCGAAGTGTTCGTGCGGTCCGTGTTGGCTGTCGCCCAACCGCAGGGTCTGGGAATCCCGGCCCGGCTGCCGGTGCAGAAGGACGCGCCCATGGCGGCGGTCGACGGACGGCTACCCGACGACTTGCAGCGGTACCTGGAGGGCTTGCTGGCCGTATCGTCGGCGATCGACCGTCGGACGTTGGTCGCGATGCTGTTGGACGACACGTTGATGATCGACGAAGACCTAGGTCCGCACCGAGTGTTCGACATGTTGCACGACGGCCGCAAGCCCGAGATGCAAACGGATACGCAAACGGAGTTGTCCGTCCGTACGACGAAAACTAAGACGTCCGTCCGTACGACGAAAACTAAGACGTCCGTCCGTACGACGAAAACTAAGACGTCCGCCCGTAAGCCGAAAACAGAAACGTCCGTCCGCCCGCCGAGAAGGTAGGATGTCCGGTCCCCGATGGCATCTCGTGTTTGTGGCCGCCATAGGATTTTTAAATTTTCACTAAAAACTTTGTTATAATTCCTCTTGTAAATGTTTAAATACTATAAACCCTTACACTATACGATGAGTTCAGAGGAGATCAAAAAATACGAGATCGCAGAAAAATATCATGTCACGGATCGTCAGGCGTTGGTCGCGATGCAATTGTAGTTCCACACCGATGAGTGCTACAGAACTACTTGTCTATCATAAGCGGGTTCAATTGCATCGCGACCAACGTCCGACGATCCGTGATATGATTTTTTGCTGCGATCGCGTGTTTTTTTCTTCTTTGAACTCTTATCGTTTAGGGTTTTATGGTGTTTAAATGTTTATAAGAGGAATTATAATAAAGTTATTAATGAGTATGTAAAAATCCTTTTATCATCAATAAAATGAGTGATGTGTTTGAATATGTATTATTTTTTATTTCATTTTTATAAACATCGATTCAACTTGTTTTCCTGTGTGACCTCGGGACGTTCCTGTTTTAAACAATACTTGACATCCCGTGGAGCCATCGCAATTGTTAATCACCCGCATTCTGTTTTTCGAGTGCAGAGGCACTCAAAAAAACAATAACAGAAAAAAAAAATATTGTATTTTAACTAGACTGCCGCCGTTCCCACACATCCGGAATTTTTTCTTTCCAACAAAACCAACCATTCTCGAGGTGTATACATTTTATTCAAGAAAAATAATTCAATCACAGTTTACAATAATATTATATGTATATAAAATAAAGCCTAACAATTTAAAATAATAATAATAATAGTAGTATACGACGATCTTACTCGTAAAATGCGATCAAAACAGTAATTATATATTATTTTATTCTAATTATAATATAGGCAAAGTAAACATAATAATAAGTATAATTTTTTTAATTTGTCCAACCCTGGAGCGTCGATGAGCGTTTATATAATAATGGTGATGATAATAATAATAATAATAATATAATATAGAAACAATTAATGATTTGCGTTTAAAAATTATGAAAAACATATTATAATTCATGTATACTATTTATGTACAATATCACTATATATATGGATCGTATATAATATAATAATAATAAATTATTACTGCCATAATAATAATATTATTACGTACCCATATATACATTAGCGTCAAACTGGCATACAACGTATAGGTAAATATATTACACTACGTCGTATTATATTATAAATTAAACGACGTCTGTCACTGCAAGCAATGGCATATCTTGGCCTTGCTGATGATGGTCTGCAAGTGCGGTGCCGTCTGCAGATAGTTGGTGTAGGTGCCGCACACGAACGGTTCGATGGGCGTTTGGCCGATGGTGCGGCGGAAGAAGAGCTCGACAACCGTGGTTTTCGGCACGGACCGGATACCTGGTAATATCTCGATCAGCTCGTCGTATCGCGCGTCCGGCCTGGCCATGTGCACGTGATTCACGTGCCGTCTGAGCGCCTCTTTGCTCTTCACGGACAGCCCGTCCAAAATGGTCTCCGTGTCTTCGGAACTGCTGCAGCCGCGGCTCTTGACCGATTCTGTGCAACAAACGATGTTTTCGAATTACCTAATTGTATTATATTATACGCATTGGCTGAGTCGCGTAGCGCATATTATCCACCGACTTTCTAGTCAATTTTTAAAATTTTTTTTTTTTTGAAACTTTAGTATAATAAAGCCTTCGAGTGGCCATAGATATATTATATTTTAGTGATTTTTAATTGAGTGGGATGAAGAGTAGTCAATTATCAAAAACGAAATTTATAACATTTAATGTGCGTTTCATAAAAATACTCCTCGAAGAAACCACTTGTTTGCATCTATTATTCCTATAGTATCCAAAAGTCAATAAACTCGCGAGTCGCGACATTCAAACTCGTGTGCAGTTATCCAATTAATATGGTGGTGGGAAGGGGAGGATGATAATATTATTGAACAATTATATGAACAAAGAATATTATAATAACATATATTATACGTGGTCATTTTTGTTGCTTCTGTTTTAGAACCCCCCCCCCCCCCCCCGGTACGTTATAATTATACGTATAATACGAGTATTACATAATAATTATACCTGATTTGAGCAGTACGATTTCGTTCAACAAATACTGTTCGATCGGATCGATTTGCCGATGTTTTACAGCAGAGAGCGTGTCCTTGAACACAGCGATTTGTTCATCGATGTCCATCGACGACCCAAAGTTGGACCGATGTTCTTCGTGCAGTAGAGAAATATCGGTGTCCGAAAAAAATTGAGCGGCCGTCAATATGAACAGTTCATGCCAGCTCTCCCGGAGCAATTCAAACTTGATAATCAAATTTAAAAAAAAAACACGTTTAAACATCGCTCAGAATGAAAATATTTCGTTTTAAATATCCACAATATATAAATATATACCTGGTCGACAAAAGGCAGAGTCATCAGGGCCGGAAAACTTTTGATCGTAGAAACTGTGACCAAAATCGAAGCGGCCGTCTCGTAAACTGCTTGCGTGAGTCTCATAGTGTTTAAAAATCTCGGCATCATTGACATCTGAAAAATTAACCACAAACACATTGTTAGTTTCGTATGAATATATTGGTACTTTAATAGTGTTGATGTATTTATCATTGTATCAAACCAAAAAGTAATGATTTACCTGTGGTCGGAAAGCCGATAAATATAAATGCGAATCGGGAATGTATCTGCCGGGTGGAGTCGAACAAGTGGTCGAACATTCGGGAGACCTCTTGGGCGTCAAGTCCAACGGCGGTGAGTTGCTCGCCGATCGATCTTTAGAGTAATTGCAGAGTCCTTGAAGTTGTCGGCGAACTGTTGACGTTCTAGGGCCGCGCTCGTGTTGAACAGCTGTAACGATTATGAGATGAAAATAAATGGCTAAACTTCATAAAAATCATTTATTATTTATCACTTACCGTCTTTATTCATGCCCGAAAGCATGCATTTTCGGAGTCTGCAAGCTCGACACTGATTCCGGTGCGTTTTATCAACCGGACATGCGCCTTCCGATTTTGATTTGCAAATGTATTGTCTATTACGCCGAATCGATCTCTAAAATAATAATAATAATAATAATGATCGAATTAGTTTAATATTATATAACTATATTTTGTATAATATGTTGTATATTTTTCTATAGTATAAAATTATAATATTATTCCTTTGCTAAAATTCTCAAAACGACAGTCAATTTCATCTATTTTCAAAGTTAAAAAAACAATTTATCGTACATAAATACTTGATATATTTAGTGATGCTGCCACCGTAAAAAATATATATTTGAATATCGATTCGTATAAAAACCATATAGTGGCGTATTATATAATTGTATAGGTACTCACTTTGAAAAACCCTGCACACCCGTCGCATGCGTATATGCCATAATGTTTGCCGGACGAAAAGTCCTTGCACACTTTACACGGTATATCGTAAAGGATCCGACCTGAAAACAAAATAAATAAAACGTCAAATTTTTCCGTGGGAATAACTGTGCCTCATGGGAACTATCAATTATCGATGACGAATGATGATGATGACGACCGGCAAATTAATTACACGAACAATAATAAATTCACTAGCCGCGCACGAGACAGATGGACCGTATAAAACAACACATACCTACGCGATCCACCTGACGACTCGTGAAATGTTATTTTCACCCCCGTGAAATATAGTGGTGAGGGGGGGGGGGGTTAGAGGGGGGTCTGCTGTGCGGTAGTTTTGATCCGATGGTTCCGGCGCGCGGCTATTTGCATGCGTGCTCGCCCTGCACGGGAAAGACGCTGCTACAGGAAACGCACAACAGGTCCCCGGAAGTCCACGCGCTATACATATAATATACGCCTCCTATACGCACGTATTATTTGTGTACCTACGTGACTACCGCCACCCACCACCACCGCCACTTCCTATACCGCCCCGTTCCCATATATCACGTGAAATTATCACCGGAGCAAGTGCGTTATTGAAACACACCCTCTACACAATATAATGATATATATTAAGTGCATGTACCTATATAATACGCGCAACAAACAATGGGGGCAAACGAGAGGTAATTAGTGCACCGCCGCCGCCGCCGCCGGTGTCATCTGTCCGCACTGAACCAGTGACGTGCTCTATTTACCGCGAGTTTTTAGGAACGAATTTTTTTACGGTCACGATAGAATAACGTGTAGGCACCTATCACGTAATACATACTATTATTGTATCGTTATACGAATGCGCATCATCACGATAACAATAATAACAGGTACCTATTATCTACGTGTGAGAACTGCAGTGCGCGTATTCGTGTTTGGCGCGGGGGAGCGATGACGATGACGTGCTCTATGGACACATGGTCGAACCGGAATAATTATACCGTAGCTATGATGAATATAATATAATATAGGCACGTTAAGTGCTGCGGCGATGTCGTATCTGTCGTTGCTGCTCCCGGTTTTTTTCCCAGATCATTTATTAGTATGATGAATTGCGACGTCAATCCACTCATTATAATATAATTAATTCAACCCCTAGTTCAATAAAATCAATCGGCATGTCGTATTTTCGCACCGTGCGCGTATGTCGTGTGTGCGACCGTATAATACGATTGTTTAAAAAATAGCTCACTATAGTTCAATATGAGTTCTCACGTATAAAAATATGTGCTCGTCGGTTTTATTAAAAAATCTACCATAATATTATTAAGAGGTAAAAACATTATGTTCGTATGGAGGGGGTACATATAGATAAATAGTTATTATATTATTTATTGAACAACTATAAAAGTTTATTAATTCATTTTTTTTACTCCCATATTGTATATTATTCGCACAATATTATGATTATTTATAAAGATATTTTACATGTAAAAAAAATAAAACCTTGAGACATTCATATCGTTTAAATTAAATATTACATAAATTCGTTTTCGTCTTGGCTGATTGGAATGGATAGGTAATATAATATAACTCTGCAAAAATATTTCTTATACGAATTATTAAGTAACGAATTTATTAAATTCATAATAAAACCTAATGGTAATTTGTTAAATCGTCACACACATAGGATGTTTGATTACGCATATCGCGCATTAAATCTTATAATGTACTTATATATATATATATATTACTTTTGAGTCTTCTAAAACGCTCACAATGGCAACGGCACAATAACCAGCATTTAAGTTTCTTAGCCAATGTCTATATTATATTCATACGAATATGACGAGTGCATAGAATCAAACAGTATATTACCAGTTCACATTATGTATGAGTATACAACTGCGAAATTCTCTAATTTATATTACGTATATTAATAACTCTAACCATTTCTGCAGAAACAGACTTTTACCTCCCGACCACAGTACCACTCAGAGCAGTGGACCAAGTTTGCATGTCCAAAATTACTCTTACGAAAAATATGGATCCTCGGTGTTTATATTTATTGTTGACACTTTCATTGAATAAGTATAGTATGATATCGAAATATATTTATATTTTATTAATATTCGATATAAAATATAAATAAATATAACTAACATTATAAAAGCACAATAATATAAATGTATGCAGTCTATGTGTACATAGGGTGTTGTAGTTTATTACAAATATTCATTGTTATAAATTATAAGTTTTTCAAAAAATTATTCACGTTCAATCTATAGCTAATGCTAGAAGTAAAAAATAAAAATTTTAACAATGGAATTTTTTAGAATTCAAGCTGATCATCCATCAGTCTTCGTTCGCTGTAATAATTGAGTCCCGAGATAACGAAAAATATACTAATTCAGTTAAAATACTTGAATGGAAAACAAAAAATATATTAATCTCTAGTTAAACGAAAACTATACTACCTAATTGAGTCCACGGTTGAGAAATGAAAAAACGAAAAATATAGGTACTAATTGAGTCCGCACACACATTTTTATCAATATAAAAAAATCAACTTAATCGTCACCTATATTTATATCTATTTGTACAGTAGTACAGTACCATGGAAATTATACATAATATATTATATACATTTATGATTTATATACATAGACTTCAGATATAATACGCTGTATGAATGTATTAGATTAAAGTACCAATTAACTAAATACGATGGACAATTGTTGTGAGTACAAATAATATTTTATATTCAAGTGTATAATATAATATGGTAATTACGTAGTTTAATTATAACTACAATTTTAACACTTAATACTAACCCTATAACAATTAAGTGCTCTGCACTGATCTAATTATTATACAGTTTTTGTAAAATTAAATTTTGATCTACTAACTCCGCCCACTGCATTGAATCTTAGCTAAATGTTAGGGTCGAGAACAGCACTCGGGTATTGGGTGAGAATAATACGCAGTGGGTCGTCGGTTGTTTTTTAATGATCGTTTATTAATTTTGGAAATAAAAAACATTCTTTTCGAAAAAAACAGTAACAAGTAAAAATAAAAATGTTCAAGCAAGTAAATAATTTATGTTTGGTGAACGTATTATAGAGATAATTGAAAAATATCCCTCGACTTGCAGTGAAGTACCGTGCACTTTTATTTTTGGGGGGGAATTGGACGGGAATAGCTTTTTATCTCATAATGAGGGATAAGGGAAGTATACACTTCACTCAAATAGAGAGAAAAAACATCGTTCTATTAAGCTGGTCACACATTACGGTTTTATTTATCCGTGAACATTCAACAGTGTTCGATACATATAGTTCAAACAATGTACACGGTTAGTATGTGGGGTTCAAAAACTGATACTGGACACCGATATGGAATGAAAAGTGATTAGTTTGATTTTCGCTCCATGTTCAAGGTGTTCAACATAGATAAGAAATAGGTCAAACATATGAATAATATATAGTCCAAACTACACAAAACATTGTTTACGGTTGAATAAAACCGTAAAGTGTGTGACCAGCCTTTGAAGTTATTACAGTAAATCCAATTAGTATATAAATTATAATTATATTATAGTGCAACATACAAAGAATATTAAAATCAAAAGCACTCTGATCTCAAGATACAATTTTCATAATTTTCTAAGAACATCTATAGCTAGAAAGGTCTATGAAATATTTTTGGTTAGATAAAGTACTATGAAATTTATATTTGATACAGGAGAAATAGTCAGACACAGAGGTTAAATTATGAAGACTCAACAACCGCATGTGCAACGCTCCGTCTTACAAACGTGCGACATAGCAAAAATTGTTTTGCACGAAATAGAACCACTCAAGCTGTAGTCTAGGTTAAGCAACCAAAATACCAAATGTTCATACTATTAAGAGGAGAAAATGTAATATGCAACATCGTTTTTATTTTTCGATATCACAAATACAAGAAAATGTCTTATTGTTTAAAAATTCATTATTTCGAACTTGAATAACTTTTCTTGTACTTGTGATATGGAAAAAATAAAAACGACGTTGCACAGTAAATATTCTCTTGTTTAAAGTGTGAAAATGTATTTGCTTAGCTTGGTTTACAGCTTGAGTGGTTCTATTTTGGGTAAAATAGTTTTTGCTGTAGGACTGTTGCGGGTGTGTGTGGCGTCCTATTAATGAAGACATATAACACTATAATTATGACTTGTTGTACTTTCAAGTTACAATTATTAAACGTACCTATACACAATACATAATGTTCAATATCATATTGTTGTATAATACAGTATAATACAATATCGTGAAAGACTGATGAATACTGTGTAGTTTTTGGAAAGATATGATTGATTGATCAATGATTTAAACCGTTGTTGTTCAAGATCATAATAGATCATTTTAGGTTTATTACGTTAGTCAGTTATTTTAATTTCTATCAGTACATTAAACATTTTAAATAAAAACCAATACTAAATATCAATTCATATGATAAATGATTATTATTTATTCAATTGCAATTTCGGTTTTATATGTGTTTCATATATGATGTACCCCAACAATAAATCTTTGTTGGAATTGCTTATAGCAAATCATGATAGGTGATTTAGATGAACCAAACTAATGACTTTTATTCGCGAATATTCATAATAATAATAATAAATTAACTTATTGTATATTACCAATAGAATTGATGTTAATTTTAATTTCGTGCAAAATTAGATCACTTATTACTATTGCCAGAAGAATAATTATATTTACAAATTCACGTGATAAAGACGTAATATAATATTATGTCAATGCAAAAACAACATCTACGATATAAGTTTGCATTAGTAATTCCGACAACACCTTTAAAAGCAAGGCACGCCATTGATGACTAATGTATGCCGAAAACATATCAGTCAATAATTATGTTGTTTATACCTATCCTACTTGAAAAACACGCGTAGGTAGGTAGGTGCATAAGTTTTTAAACTGATAAATTCGTTCATCATTATTTATCAGTAATAAATGAACAAGACAATAATACTACTAGGAAAAAATTATCAAGACATTTACTACCGATTTGTTTATATTACACTGTTTTTTATTGATTTACTGTTACAATTGTGTGTATGTTCAAATAAATTTACTGCATGATATTGAAATGAAAATGTTTTAAACGTGTTTTACATTTAAATAAGCGCCAAAAAAAAAGGTAAAAAATACGAAAAAGACTTGAACGGTAGCGTAAGACATTGGTCGGTATTGTCCGACAAAGAAACAGTAGCATATAACTGCATAATATTTTGCAATGGTAATATTATTTTAATTCAATATAATGTATTGCTGTAGACTTACTGTTTGTCGGTTTGGTAATGGCGTTTGAAGAGTGTTCAGCGAAGTTTTGCATGGTGATATCTTTGCGTGTGTTGCAGAACGTGGGTGAAATAAATATTAAGGTCGGAGTAAAAACGATATAAAAAAAAAATTATAAAAACCAGAAAACCAAAAAAAAAATTGTTGAATAATGTAAATCAACAAGAGCCCGACGAACAGCCGACGACGGACGCACTATATATGGTCGTGACGATCGAGATCAAAATGTCAACTCCTCGATCCCGTCGTCGTCGGACACATCCCTGTGACGGCGGCGACACGGACACCCCGCGGGTTTGGGCGTGTCGTGAGCGATCCGCGCTCGCGCTGCCATTGGTCGGTGCGTCGCCACAACCGGTGGTGAGGACCGCAATGTATATACCACGCCGTTCAGGGATCCGCCGTCGGGGGTGGTTTCAAAAATGTTGTCCGTGCAGCGTTCGCACTCTATTATTTTTTATTTTTTTTTTACACAGAGACGGTGCGTATATAACACAATATGTACATGCAGACCTATATACCTAAGTACATTATGTATGTATATGGATGTATATACCAAATATATATATACACGTGTGTATATATGTGTATACGAGATGTATGTATATTGTGCGCGTGATAAAAGTCATAATGCCGACGGAGCAAAAAAAAAAAAAGAAAGAAAATACGAGCGAGCTGCACATACACACACACACACACACACAGAGGTCCTCAGTGATGGACGTGTTCGTCGAACCGAAAGGGATCTCCGACGGAATAATGTACTCCGAGGTCGGGGACGGCGGCGGCGGCGGCAGATGATAAAAACACAATAAATGTTATAGCGGCGATGTATACATTAGATAAACCCTGCCCGAGGATAACCAGAAGGCAATTAGTCCCGTGTATATTATATACAGATATGACGATATAATGTAGATCGCCGCCCTTTTGGTATATTATGTTGTCCGTTACAATAGTATATATATATAACATGTATACGATGGCAGGGGATGACGACGACGACGACGCGAACGTTTGTATAGCTGATACCGATTTCACAGTTTAAATACCATATTATGTATATATGGACGCATCAAATAATAAATGCATATATATATGTATGTATATGTATGTATATTTTGCACTGTATATGGGGTTACTGTACATAATAGTATATACTAGTATACCTATCTATACAATATTATCCTCCTTCGGCGGGCACACGGGGATTTTTAAGCCAAAAAATAAACACGCAACAGAGTTAAACGCGCCCCGGGGGCGTCCGCGCGGACGGAAACGATATTATTAATATTATAATACATTCTACATCATACCTATAGGTGTATACAAGGTACACGTAGATTTTTATGAAGTGCATATATGTACATAAGTATAATATATATTACATAATATGTTTATTGTATATATAATATACTGGTGTGTCGATATGTAGGCATATCGTGTTTTATAATATATTGTTGTATATTTTTGACAAAGCGTATCGGCTGATTTGCAAGTATAATATTAGGTATATTGTATCGAATAGTTTGAGCGAATTATTTTGTACAAAGGTATATAGGGTATTATTATACTGCTATATAAGCGATACCATAATGATCCAACGACACCGCGGCTGTGTTATACAGATCTCGTGGGTGTGATGAATTTTTTCGGATGATGACCAATTTTCCTAAAAATAATTATTTTCTCGACAATATAGAAATTCTATAGGCTTGACGATTATTCTCTGCGTATTATTGTAAAATGTCTACTCTACTTACAGGACCATAGGTGCGTGGTTATCATAATATCCTAAGAGGACGTCAACGAACTGTGTGTTTTCTCTCTCCGACCCATATGCGCAACATAGACAAAAAGTATTTACGCAGAATATTTCTTTTTATGTTTTTGAGTTATCTTATGTAGAGTAAAATCACCCATTACAAAAAGAGAAGAATATTTTTGAAGGTATAATTTATCACGATTTGTATAAATATTATCTCAAAACAATTTAAACATTATTTAAATATACAACAATTTTTTGTTTATTATGAAAGGCGAATGCAAAGTCAAATAACAGTAAAATGTAAAACCAATTATATGTCATACCCTCAAAAATATCATCTTCTAAAATTGTTACAATAGGTTGCTTTTACTAAAAAAATTTTAAGCGTTTTATACTTTAGACACAAATATTATGCTGACATCCTCTTAACCGTGCTAAGGATTAAGGACGTCGCACCATAAAACAATGCAGATACAAGCAATTAATGAATTATGTTAAAGTCTAAATATTTTATTTTAGCCATCTTATTATACTATAATTTTACTGTACCAAACACGGTACAACATATTAATAAAATTTGATGATGTGTGCTGTTGTGCAAACTTTGTTGTCGGTAAAAAAAAATGCAATAAATATAAAATAAAATAACGGAGAACCCATGCATAAATATTTGTTGACAAAAAATACTGGCAATTAAGTTAAAAAAATGGAGTGTGTGTATCGTCATGATGATTTTTATCTAATTATTACTATATTAATCCCTAATAATATTACTACAATGTTAGTAGACACGTAATATGAAATAATCGAAAATATTTATTTGAAAATAAAACCTAGGCAGTTGTTAAAATCTATGGATAAGGTAAAGAAATATTGTTGTTTTTATAATATTACTATGTTTTTTTTTTTAGGTATAATATGAAAATAGATAGGTATAAGTGTAATTATGTTTTATTTATGTGCTCAGACACCTTGGAATTTACCTGAGAATACTGTACATTGTACAAGATCATTAAAAATAGAACTGTCAATAGATAATATACATTTATTAACGAAGAGATTTCATAGGTATATAAAAAAACGATGGTTCCATATTTTAGTATTAATATAGTATTAGAACTTCTTTTTTTGTATAGTACCTATATATGCGTTATTGTTGTGTAAGCTCGTCTATCCAAACAATATGTTCATATATTAGGTATATATAATAAACTGTTACATCAAAATAAATTTATTATCAAGTCAGAAATTGTTCAAGGTCAGCTTTTAAGAGCACGGAAATGTTGACGTTTAACAATATGTAATCTATAGGTAACAGCGTAATGGAATTTTTAAAATTTTACAATAAATGAAAATGGCTTATACGGGAATTTAATTTCTTAATCAGACGACTGAGTACGTATATAGGCCAATATGACGATAATAAACTACTAATAGTGACATTAAAGCCAATGTCATTGAGACGAAACAATTGCAGTTTTCCGGTCACGACTCGCGGTTATTCCGTATTGTTGAAACCAGTAATAGGAGATGACGATGCAACTAAAACAAGACGTGACTTGTTTATTTACTAGATTTTTGAACAAAATATGCTCTATCGATTTAATGTAAGATATCCACCAAAATGGACATCTTCGTTGAAGTCTCCCGCAGCCAAAAATTGTTTGTGACGAATTGAATTATCACTTGAAGATTGTAGGTAATAATTAAAAACTATAATAAAACGTACGATGGTGGCAATAATTTTAGCGAACAAATTTTCATTTTCTAAAACGATGCAATAGATTCATTCGCGTTTTATATTAGGTAGGTAGTTGTTGATTATTGTATATATGCCGCTTTTTAAGCCGTCATAACGCATTGTATTTCATTCATACTTTAAAACACTGCAATATTCAATGGAAGCATAATAATCATAACCTGCAACATTACCTACGAATTCCATTGGTATAGTAAAGTCTTAAATATTATTATTATTATTATTATTATTATTATACGATGGCGAGACTGCCTTCGATTTCTCACAGCTCTCTATACGGATTAGTAACGATGTTATTCGATTTTTTCCTTTCATTCATTGTATCCATCGCCCAATTTTCCATATGATTGACTCTGCTAAATTAATATTATATACGATATTTTTCAAAAGGATTTCTTATAAAAATCGAAGCGATGGGTGTGTTTTTTATTTTTTATTATTTTTCGTATACAGAGAGAGGTAGTATTGCTGATCCGACCCATTGTGCAAACAGTACTCGAATAACAGCGGAAGCCCCTATTTGTGTACAGACCGATCTTAGGTGAGTTAATCCATCGACGTTTTGTAATCACAGTGCAGCGTGCACGTTATCATAATACATCGAAAAAAAATCAGAAATCATATTTTATTCAAGTTAAATCAAGTAGGTATATAGTAATAATTATAAGACTATTACTTTACTCAAGTACCGTATCCGTTCGATTCAATTTTTTCTTCAAAAATATTCATATGTTAATTACTAGGTACTTATATTATAATAAATTAAAAACATCTACATCGTACGCGTTGGAATAATTATTTTTTTATTTACACATTTTATAATAATTACATTATCTTAACATATTTTGTACTCCAGTAAATCTTTAAAATGTGTTGCAATTGTTTATATACCTACAGATATGACGAATCCTAATTAAATTATTAATATGTACCTATAACTGTATATTTTAATGAAAGGTACTTTTTTTAGTTGGCGCAATATTTTTTGGTATCTTATTTTGGAAATGTAAAGCTATAATTTATGAACGAATCAACAAAATACACTCAGTTAAATTAATTTTTTTTCAATTTCTATATTATATATTATAATATAGGCTTATAAGTTATAACACTGAATAATGTAAATATATTTGGTGATAAAATTTAAAAAAAAAAATTATGTATACGACGCAATACGACTGGAAAATAATTGTATTCCCATTGTCATCGTAATTATTTCCAGACTAAAAAAAAATAAATAAATAATAAATGTTTTTTAACTGTCATTTAATATTTTTACCAGATGAGGATATGAGAACTATACAAATATAGGTAGTCAAGTCGCTGCAACGGTTAGCAACCGATTTCCACGGTGTCACGTACGAGCCAGGAACGCCTCTTGTATTTATAGAGCGACGAGGATTGAATAAAAAAAAAACCATCTTTAAAATATAATATAATAATAAGACCGGATCTCAGCGTCTTCTTGGCGGGCATTCCCATCGGGAAGACGTTAAAAAATCCTTTAACGAGATATCACTTTATATCCATAAGTCCTTTATTTTACTATAGAGGGATGAATGAAGTCCGAGCGCCTCCTTCTTCCTGTAGTGTGTCGTCTCGTGTACGTGTACTTCGCAGGGCGTGACCAAATATCGTGTTACTGAAACCCAACTATAATATATCTTCTGCGAGTTACACAATTCCGACGCAATTCCAACGGTTTTCCGACGTTAT